ATCAATAGCCGAGTCGATAGAGCCATGTCTGTCTGTCTGTCTGTCTGTCCGTCTTGTTTGACGCCTGGATCTCAGAGACTATAAAAAGCTAGAGGAACCAAATTTTGTTTCCAGACTCATGTGATATCACACTGCTACAAGTGTATTTCTGTCCGTCCATCTTGTTTGACGCCTGGATCTCAGGGACTATAAAAGCTATAGGAACCAAATTTTGTTTCCAGACTCATGTGATATCACACTGCTACAAGTGTATTTCAAAATTTCGCCCCGCCCCCTTCCGCCCCCACAAAGGACGAAAATCTGTGGCAGCCACAATTTTAAATATACGCTAAAACTAAAAACGAATCGTAGAGAATGACCATATCTACCAGATTGCCGAATCTGAATCAGATCAGATCATAATTATAGACAGAATGAAGAAATTGATTTCACTAGTCAACACGATTTTTCCTCAAGGAACAAAACGAACTTTTTCTTTAAGATTTGGGGCTTAGAAATGGTTTGATGATATTTTTTTTTTCTATGGCAGAACTTTTTTTAAAGAATTTTTGAAAACTGGTATTTTTTTTTAAAGCTTTTTTCAGAGGTAGCGCTTGTTTTTTCCATAACTCTATACTTACGCTGGTTGTAAAGAACTTTGCTATTTTGAAAAGATAATTAAAACAGCTAGAAGTTAGGCCTAAACACTTTGTGATTACAGCTTACTGTCTGGGAAATATAAAGCATTGAAATGCAAAAATTATGATTTTTGTGCGGTATTTTTACGAAATTTTGACTTTAAAAACTCAGGAAAAGTCGAAAAAAAGTATATCCTGTGTTCTCTATTTTTTGTGTATAGGTGAATTAATTTGGCGTCGTTCAAGGTATCGCTCATTAAAATCTATGGAGAGACTTTGGAGCTAAAATTCGTTAACCAAACCTAAAATATGGAAAAAATGAACAAAAAATACCTTTTCGAAGGTTGCGGGCCCAACTGCCAATTGGGAACAAAGCAAACAAAAAAGTGTTGTACATTTGGTACGTGATCGCGATCCCAATTCCCAATGGGAATTGGGCTTGCAACCTTCCAAAAGGTATTTTTGGTTCATTTTTTCCATATTTTAGGTTTGGTTAACGAATTTTAGCTCCAAAGTCTCTCCATAGATTTTAATGAGCGATACCTTGAACGACGCCAAATTAATGCACCTATACACAAAAAAATAGAGGACACGGGATATAATTTTTTTTCGACTTTTCCTGAGTTTTTAAAGTCAAAATTTCGTAAAAAATACCGCACAAAAATCATAATTTTTGCATTTCAATGCTTTATATTTCCCAGACAGTAAGCTGTAATCACAAAGTGGCTTAAGGCTTAGGCTTAACTTCTAGCTGTTTTAATTATCTTTTTAAAATAGCAAAGTTCTTTACAACCAGACGTAAGATACTAGAGTTATGTGAAAAAAACCAGCGCTTCCTCTGAAAAAAGCTTAAAAAAAAATACCAGTTTTCAAAAATTCTTTAAAAAAAGTTCTGCCATAGAAAAAAACCATAATTCTTTAAAAAAATTTAAATGTCCATATCTATCAGAAAAAGTCGGTTTGGATTCTTGAGGAAAAAAAAAGTTCGATTTTGTCGAGTAGTGTTTTTAGTTGTTTCCCCCGCCCCCCCTGCTAACGAACAAGCTCCTCATTCTCGCTCGCACACTCTGCCGCGTTCAGTGCGCGAGCAACCCCTAGCGGAGGAGATGTAGAATATAAATGGTATGTACATCTATAATCTACATGTTATAATATACATTGTAGATGTAGATAATAGATGTATCAAAAAAATGTAAAATGTAAACTTTTTTTTTAATTCTAAAATTCGAAAAAATTAAATCAAAATGAAAAACAGATATACTGACTGAGTACGGGTATAAGTAGAGTCGCGTCCCCAGAAGCGACTAGCACGTTCCTTCTCGTTTGTTTTGTTTTGGTGTCCATTTTTTTATGAGTCGATGGAGAAGAGAGTCACGTTTAACGGGAATTCAACGACTGCGTAAATAGCATTACCTGTACCTTATTAGATTTCTCAATGTTCTTGTTTTACCTTAAGTTAATCCCACCAAACATTTGACAGCTTTTCTGTTAATTGTTCCTACCAAAATGTATTATCTCTTCACACGTGCACGCGCCGCGTTTTGTGCGCGTTTTTAAGCGCCACCTTATTTGGACTTTTTTCTCGAGCTGTTTCTTGGTAGATCAAGAAATGTGTGTGTTTGTGTGTGTGTGTGCGTCTGTGCTCGAGTGCGTCAGAGAAGAGCTGACCGGAGTGACAGGGTGCGCGAGAGAGAGAGGGGTGTATAGTGTACGCCATGTATGTAGGTAGATGCGATCGATTGACAATCATTTGAGGCGATCAAGCTTAAAAAACACAAACAAAAAACAAAACAAAAACGCTGCTAAAGCTGACCAATTTTAGAATCTTCTCCGATTCCACTTCCACTTCCAAATCGAACAAAATTCACACATCAAATTTGGGGATCGGATCGCTTAAAGCTACTATTTTATACGGTTGCGAGATTTCAAAGAAGAAGGGTGGGTCGGTGGGGGGGGGGGGGTAACAAAGGGCAGAGCTGCGTGGGAGTGGCCCCAGAGAATCGAGCTCGGATTCCGACTCGACTCTCTTCCGCCGATCAACCATGAACTCGGGCGTTCCTCTGCTTCTACCTCTCCCTGGCTCTTTGCTCATCGTGTTTAACCTTTTAAAGTTCAGTTTAGCAAAGCGCTGGATTTTGTTGTATACCTATTAGACAGGGGGAATGATGAATGGAAGCAGAATAAGGGATATAAATATGTACATATGTATGTATGTACACAGAGAGAAAAATGGCACAGTAAAAAGATGAACACCCATATTAAAATGCATTAAAACGTAGTGAAGTTAATTAGAATACAATTTGTTTCTCTCGGTTCTCTCCCTGTATGTACACAGGTGTCTTATGTAGCTATCGTTTGAATAATGGATCTGCTAGGGTATTCAGTCAGCCTTCTCCCTTTTCTTCTCTGTTGTTGTGTTGTCCCCTTCAAATCATCCTCCCCTCTGCCTTCTTAATACTCCGCGGCTGAAGTGGCAGGCAGCTTCGTCATCTGCTCCAACTGTAAACCGAAAAAATCCGAATCGATTCGTGCCAAGAGCATTTTAACTGTCTTAGGTAACGGACAGTTAAAAGAGAAGAGCAGATAACACAGAGCAAGAGCGAAAGAGAGAGAGAGGGTAATAACTTTATTACGATCTAAAAAGACCTTACCCAATTAGGCAACGTGGTTGTTGCGGTTTGTAGTTGTTGCCGAGTGCAAAAATTTTAATTTAATTAAAATTAATATGGTAATGATGCAGCGGGGCCCCGAACATAAAGCAGAGCTGATGCAGTGGCATTATTGATACCCTGTATAAGAAGTGGAAAGTATTTAAAAAAAAAAAGTTTCAGCAGATACAAAAGTAGGACCAGCCAATAATTACTCAAGGAACAGAGTAAATTTAGAGCTATTTAATCATGGCGATATTTTCATATTTTAAGCTTATAAATCTATCAATGGGAAAAAAGGTACGCCACAGTATTCAAAAAGTGATGGCAACTGACGCTCCCAACCCATTGATAGGCCATAACCCATTAATTAGCAAAGCAATGATCTCGGTTCAAGACACAATCTGCAAAGAATATCTTGTGGGAAGTTTTTGAAACAGTCGTATCTTGTCAGGTTTTGTGGCTGGTCTTGAGCTCTTCCCAGGCAACTTCTTGGCAACATTGTTGCCTCATTGCTAATGCAGATCGTGTTGCTAACCGAATAAAACGCAAAACATGAATTCATTGAAATTTGTGGTCAGACTTTAGCTGGTTTGTTTATCCAGCCGTCGTCTTACAGTCTGCTGACTTCTGCTGCCTCCGAACACCACTAAGTATTTCAATTTAGTGCCAGAAACTACATGTGCATGTAACATATGGATTGAAGAGAGTAACGTTCGAATGAGAAAAGGCATACACACCCACTTGCTCCTCTTCCCTCCCTTTCTACCTCTCTCTACTTTCTCGTCTTGTTGCATACTCGATCTCGAGTGTCGCTTGCTCACATCTGCATCCACAAACGAGGTGTATTTTGTTTTGCATTCTCGAGTCCTGAACCATCTCTCAAATAGTGGGTATCCCTATATTCGTTACATAAGCTAAAAGCCTTTCCTACGTGTTTAATTTTTTTATTTTATGATGCGACATCAAGATAATTTGTTTCTGTTGTTGCTGTTGCCTGGCCCAAATTCTAAATACGGCAACCGATTTCGTTCGTGAAAGAGAGAGTACTAGACAAATGTCCAGTGAAGAGGGAAGGAGGAGCACTGCTCGTATGCGAAAGAGCGACAGGAGCAACAGAGTCCAAGTCACTGTTTTTTTTAGTCGTCTGTCTGCTGTCCCGCTGTCACTGTCATTGGAGGGCTTCACAGAGGAGCGAACAGCAGCAGCAGCAGAAGCAGACAGAAGGAGAAATTTAGCTGCTGGAAAGCACAAGCCAGAACCCAATCCCAATCCCTAACCAATTCCCATTCCATTGGACTTCTTTGCGATACTTGCGTGATGCGCTGTCGAGTCGTCTTTGGGCTCACCTTGTTCACAGCAGGAGGAGTGGACAAGAAGCAGAAGCAGCTGGTCAACTTTTTGGTATGCCAGAGTTGTCACCAATGTTGGTTGTACTTTTACGTTGCCTGCCTGACTGCCTTGCTCCCTCCTCTGTTTGTGTGTGTGTGTGTATGTTTGTGCTTTGGTTGTTGCCGGAAGTGCAATTGCTTCATTACGGCACGTACTTTGTCAAAAGGCGTTTGGCGTTGAGTCATTTTATTTGATTTCTGGCGGGGACCCAGGGCTCCTCCCTGCCAACTTATGAATGAAGGAATGAAAAATATCTCTTGCCACAGTTCACACCATGTGTGGGCTGTACTCAAGAATGAAACCACATGCTAATCTCTCGCATTTCTATCTATCTTGTTTACAGGGGCAAATTCGCCGCCGTTCGCCGTGCCATTCACAAGAACACGGGCTCCCATTTTGCAGCAAAGTTCCTGAAGCGACGCCGACGAGCACAGAGCAGCGATAAGGAAATCAAGCACGAGATCGCCGTCCTAATGCTCTGCGAGAGCGAGGACAATATTGTCAATCTAAATGCGGTGCACGAGACCCGATCAGACACAGCCCTGCTGCTGGAACTGTAAGTGATGTCTGACCCCTCCTGCTGTTTCTTTTAACCCTTACTTTAATGTACTCTTATGTACTCCGCTCCTCCCGTGTAGGGCCACTGGTGGCGAGCTGCAGACCATACTAGACAACGAGGAATGCCTGTCAGAGGCCCAGGCCCGGCACTGCATGCGAGAAGTGCTGAAGGCGCTCAAATTTCTCCACGACCGATCCATTGCCCACTTGGACCTCAAGCCACAGAACATTTTGCTCGCCGGCGAGCGTATAGAAGGTGAGCCCAGTGTCCGTCCATCTATTGAAACGTTTATAATGCTTTTGCATCTATCTTCAGATGGCCTCAAGCTCTGTGACTTTGGGATCTCGCGAGTTGTGTGCGAGGGCATCAATGTACGCGAAATGGCCGGCACCCCCGACTATGTGGCCCCCGAGGTGCTCCAGTACGAGCCGCTCTCCCTGCTGACGGACATCTGGTCCGTGGGCGTCCTCACCTATGTCTTGCTCTCCGGCTTCTCGCCCTTTGGCGGGGATACCAAACAGGAGACCTTCCTCAATATATCGCAGTGTGCGCTCACATTTCCGGACAACCTATTTGGTGGCGTCTCCCCAGTAGCCATTGACTTTATACGCCGAGCATTGCGAATTAAGCCAAAGTGAGTGGAAAATGGAGTAGGCTCTGAGGGATATTTAAATGTTTGTTTGTTTTTAGCGATCGCATGAGTGCCGCTGGATGCCTGGAACATGTCTGGTTGAAGGATGAGAGCTCGCTGGATAGACAAATTTATCTGCAGGCACAGAGCGATGCCGAAGAGAAGGAGGAGGATGAAGAAGACGACCTAGAGGATGAAGAAGTGGAGCAGCCAGTGGCAGAGGAGAAGGCAGAGGAGCAGCAGCAGGAGCCACAGGAGCAACAGAAGCACAGCAGTGGCAGCAACACACCCACGCACAATGGCATGGGCCACCATCGGGCCCACAGCAATGGCAGCAATCACAGCAGCAACAGCAGCATCTCAAAGATACCCATTGCCACCGGAAAGGTTCTTGGCAGCCCCAGCACAGAGACAACCACAGCTATACACACGCTGACCAGCAATGGACACGGTAACACGGTCTGCCTGCCCGCCAAGCCCACACAGATCGTGACACCCACACGTCGAGCGTCCGACTCGGACAAGGAGAACACATACACGGCCACGTTTGTGAAAAAGCCCCCGGTGCAGGCCACCATCCAGCTGGGCAGCAATGGCCTCGAGGAGTCCTCGACAGTGGTGGCCACCCTGACACTCTTTCCCGATGCGCCCACCACGCCGAAAGTGATCCGCAAGACACCCACGGGAGAGTCGAATGGTTCGGCCACCTCGGTGAAGGCTCTGGTCAAGAAGTTTCAGCTGGAGGAGACACTTGTGTGCGCGGGAAGCAGTCCCAGCAGCAGCAACCACAATGGCCAAAGTCCCATCAACGGCTGCAGCAACATCAACGGAAACAATATGCGACGCAGTGCAGGAGGCAACAGCAGCAACATCAGCTACTCCGCAGCAGCAGCGACAGCAGCACGAATGAACTGCATTCGTCGTGCCTCCGAGCCCCTGACGGCCGTCTACAAGAAGCAACCACAGAACAGCAGCAGTGCCAACAGCAATAGTTCCAGCAGCAACAGCAGCAGCAGTAATCCCAGCCCCGGCAGCAGTCCCAGCTCGGGTAGCACGGCCACCCTGCTCCTGAACAGACATCGCCTGGCGTCCGCGTCCGAGCCAGCGAGCACGGTCAACAGTAGCAGCGCTGTAGCCTCAAGCAGCAGCAGCACCAAAGCGACTGCAGCCACTGCCCACCATTTGCACCATCACCACTTGCACCACCACCATCATCATCATCACCATGTGGTGATCGCCGCGAAGAACGCAGCCGCTGTTGCCGCCACCAACAACCTGAGTCTGGACCAGGGTATCATCTGTTAGCTAAGGGCCAGCCGTGCGAGCCGCAATGCCAAAAGTTTCTTTCATCGCTTCCTGTGCTGCATGTAACAGAGCCCGTCGCGGCCCGGATCCCCCCAGTCGTCCCCCAGTCCCACAGGGCGACGTCGCAGCAGCTCTCTTAGCTGCTGGTCTACTAGGAGAGAGTGGCAACGCCACCAGCCCATTGGGAGATCGAATTGGATAGGCAATGGCAATGGTAATGGCAATGGCATCAGGTGCTGCAGAGGAAGATGGAGGCCATGGATAGGGAGCTGGATATGGAAATGGAGATGGAGAGGAGAGAAGGAGCTGGATCAACAGGAGGATGCATTGATTTGATTTGAGTTCGTCTTAGTTAATGATTATTGCCTTAGTGTCTAGTTGGATCTACAGCAAAAGGAAACCCCAAGCCCCCACCCCACTTCTAAGTTAGTAGTAGTATACACGACCTCCACCACTCATCATCTACATACACAAACACACACACAAACACACAGAAATGAGAAAGTGGAAAATGGGAGTACCAGGATGATGGATGTAGCTAAATCTAAATGAGTTTTTATATAGTAAAATTCGAGTTGGCAGCTTTGCGGCCGTATTGCCAAAAAAAACAACAACAAAAATCAACAAAAAACAAAAGAAAGAATTTAGAAACGAAAGGGATGGAAGAATATAGAAAGAGAGAGAGAGATAGCGAAGGAGTGATGTTTAGTGGAGTAAGCAAAATGATTTCAACGGAATTTGGGTAGACATATCATTCATGTTTGTTATACATCAAAAATTTTATACACGTGTCCGGGATGAGAAAGAACAAAGAGTAAACTAGAAAGGAACGGAACGGAACGAAATGGAACGTAGAAAGTTATGAAATTCATAGACAAAAATCCATTTTATCAGCGAATATATATATATATATATATACCTTTATATACCTATATATATATACATAAATGTCAATTAGAGCGTTCTGGCACAGCATTAATTATACAATTTCATACGTTATATATAAATGCAAGAAGCATACATACAAGTCTATACCCCTAACATATATGTACCAAAAAAGATAGATTCATTTCTATGCTGAAAAAATTCGCATTTGCAAATTCGTTATCTTAATATATATATAGATATCACGTATTAACGTATCAGCCAATCAAGCAATCAATCAATCAATCATGTAGACGTGTTTTTCGATTAGAGGGGATTTTAGAGAATGTTACAAGCCAAGCAAAATTGTTAATTGTGTGTCTGTGTGTGTTCGTTCGTTCAAATCGTTGGATAATTGTTGCTAAAATACATAATACATATTACATTGAATGCCCATATATATATGTACCTATATATAGTTAATATATATGCCCATCCGGAGAGAGAACACTTAATGCTTGTTATGTATCTAGCTCTAGCTCTAGCCCCACTTCAGCTCCCATTTCCAATTTTAATCCCAATTCTACTCGTTTCGTTTACCCCCCCCCCCCATTTCCTTCACTGTTATCCATATGTTGAGTCGGTTTTTGTATATATTTTTCCCAGCAATCAGAAATTGCTGTGTACTTTAATTTTATTTTTTTTTTTTTTTATTAATAGCGTCTTAGAGCTTCATATGAGTTGTATTTATTAGGCAAAACGTTTTGTGTGGTCGACGGATGAGGAAAAGGATGGATTGATGGTCAGTTAATTGTTAAAGAGAAATGCTTAATTTATCATCATTGATTACCCTCTTTTATACTTAATAATTGCGTGTACTTCTCTTAATTATTACTTTTAAATATGTACCTTTTTTTTTAATTAACTTAAACCCCTGTTTTTTGTGAGGGAAAGCAGCCGACATACATATTTATGTACAAATGTAAGTCTAAACCAGCGATGCCCAAAGTCAGCTTACGGCTGGGCACTCACCAATTACAAAAACAAATGGGCTCCGTGGGCAATGGGCCTGGGCATCGCTGGTCTAAACACATGATACGATGCGAAAATTGTGTTTTAATTTGTAGTAATTTCAAATGATTTTTTTGTGTTAGAGAATCCATGCATCTGCGCCGGGGAGAATATGAAACAAAGATGAAAATTCGATTATACATGTATTTTATTACATAGTAATTATTTTATAGATAACTAATTAAAAACATATTCAATAAAAACCATACAAAAATGCAACTGTTTTTTGCCTTTTCATTTGACTGTTGACTGTGACTGTTGTTCTCACCACTCTCTCTCAGGTACATGTGCAGACATGAATCAGGATCATGGCGGAAAGCTGCATCTAGAGTTGTCATTACAACAATGCGTCCAAATGTATTCAGCTTATGCGCTGTAGAGGCGACCTCCATCAGCGCCACAATTGTTTCGTATCCAATGGGCTCGTTAATGCGTTCAATCCCAAATATAAAAATATAAAAAAAAAATAACGGGATTAGTTGACTAATAGAAATAAAATAACAGAATGAAATAAAATGGGGAATGGCTGGATATTCTTGAAGTTTGGTATGGAAAAAAAGGGTTCTTTGATATTTGCTAGCTTTTAAAATGAATTTTAAATTTTATTAATATTAAGTACTATTTAATATTATTAAAGTAGTTGAATTAAAAATGTTTAAAAGATGTAAACTAAATTGATTTAATTCTGCTACATGGCTAAACGCATCTAGAAATGCTGAAATGTTTAATATAGAAATATTTTCCCAAGAAAAGCAGGCATTGGTATCCCCTGACCTGAAAAAATTCTCAATTCGTTGTATCTATCATTTTCGATTTCAGTTACAGTTTGTGTGCTTAGATTTTGACTTGCGCTTGTTGGCCAAATTCCCATGTGACAAATTTCACCAATTCATGATAAATTTACTGTTAGTTCGAGTATTAGCCACTATAAAATGGCGGTTTCGGCTGGTCTTGGATCAGCAGGAGGTGCAGCAGGAGGAGGGGTCGGCAGCCTGCCACCGGATGCTAAGCCCTGGCAACGCATTGACTGGCCGCCCTGCGTGCAATCGCCACTGTTCATGGACTGGGGCAAGTACTACACTCGCCGCTTGCGCAACAAAAAGGCTCTCGAAAGCTACGGCCGCGCCCTGGCCGTCTGCAAGCAGGATCAGCAGAAGCAGCAACAGTCCTGCAAGTATCCCAGCCCCGAGATGCGCGGATCCATAAAAAACTGCCAGAACGAGCAGGGATTCTGCCGGAACGATTACAAGACGCTGTTCCTGCGCAGCCGGTGCCAGCGATCAATTGCCCAGTCGGAGGGCGCCCTGATGGACGCTAGTCGTGCCAAGAAGATGATGTGGCTGACCCAGGAACAGAAGGACAGTAATGTGGTGGGCACCGCGGAGATTCTCATGGAGAAGTGCGACGCCCTCTTTGACTGCAACGAATTCGAAAGAACCCTCCGGACGTTGCACACGGAGGCGCGCCTCTTCGATTCCGCCAGCCAGGTACAACGTCGCTTTGACGTGCGCAAGAAGAGGGTGAGTCAATGGTTGAATACTAAAACTTTCCGCGTTCCTTTGGAACTATTTTACCCTTTCCAGATTATGGGTGTGTTTGAGGATACCGTGGGCGAAACGCTCGGGCCTTTCATGCAGCAGAATAGTGGCGCCATCGATGAGGTTCTGCGACGTCGTCAAGAATTAGCCGCCTTTGTGCCCCGTCCGCTGTGGAAGACGCTGCAGGAGCAGCAAAAATGTGACGTTCAGAGCGTGATCGACATGAAGATTGAAACGCTGACCTCCCTGGAGCGGTCACGGCGGCGTGCGAGCAAGAGCTTCTACAACCACCAGTATCTGGGCAGGAGTGCCGCAGACGTGGCCTTGCTGCACCAGCTGCGCAGCAATCAGATCTTTCTGAACCCGTTGATGCACGGCACCACCCCCTATCTGCGGCAGCTCAGTGGAGAGCAGTATGGGATCGTTAGGAAGTTTATGGTGAGGTGGGAAATGTATCCAAATGTATCCATTAGTCTAATCCCCTTCTGAATTTGTAGAAAATGATGCACGCCCGCAATCCGCTGTACAACAGCAAGAAGGAGAAATGCCGGAACACGCTCAGTTGCGAGAAGAGTCGTGAGAGATATCTGTTCCACGTGGAGTACCAGACCAGGCGCGACTGCATCCGAATGCTGCGCGAGGTGCATCAGCTGCGTGCTGAAGGCAACGTCGAGGGCCTCACGGACTACGTTGAGCACATAATGTCCAGAATAATTGACCTTAAGACGCATCGCACGCTGCCCTGGAAGTGGGAGTTCGTCAACGATGTGTATAACAGCCTGGCCCTGGCCCATGTGGATCGGTGTGCGGTGCCAGCGAACGTTGACTTTTTGGATCCGAAGAACCGCCTGGTGCTGTACCTGCTGCAGCCGGAGCGCACCAAGGACATGACCATTAGCTTTGGCGGACCCAACCTCTATCTGGAAATAAAAAAGGAGGAGGAGCGCCAAATTCGATCTAAGTAAGTGTAAAGGGAGGGAGTAAGTATCTCTAATCATGTCCTGCTGTTCGTTGCAGCCAGAAGATGGATCATCTGGAGGAACGACTACGCAACTCCCGCTATCCCATCGAGCGGGCCTATCTGCGTTTCGAGATGGCCCGTGGACACTTTAAGGAGTTCCGCTTCGACAAGAGCCTGGTCATGGCCCGCAGCGCCTTTAATGGTGAGTCCAGCGGGCTCACCTTCGTTCTACCATTTTTAACCATTCCATCCGCAGAGGCCCGCAGCTGCAACAGCCTGATTTGGCGCTACAACAGTATCTTCCTGGTCTGCCAGGTGCACGCGGTTCTGAGTCGCTTCGAGCGCCTCAAGGAGTCCCTGGCAAAGGCCAGTCAGCTGGCCAAGGACCTCAAGTCACCCAAGTTGATGGCCTACCTGGCTATCTGCCACACAGTCAATGACAACGACCTGGCCCTGCGCCGACTGCGCCACTCAGAGCTGTCCCTGCGAAGGCCCCGCAAGCGGGGCGTCAATAGTGTACCCTCGTTCAACTCCCTATCCAGCAATGCCTACAGCCTTAGCTGAATTAGCTCCAGCAATTGCAATTGGCTTTCATTTAACTCGTTTTTAGGGTGAGTGAGAGCCAAGGCAGCTGCTTGAGCATCTACTGCTTTGGATTGTAACATCTTGCGGGCGTTTATTTCTGCTTGCCGTTCGCGCTGCAGTTCAATCTCTGCCATGCTTTAAACCCAGTTGACCCAGACTGCCCATATCGTATTATTAAGGATTTATATTTTGATTTATTCGCTTGAGTTTGGCTTTGAGTGTTGGTTTCAATAATTAACAAGCATCAACGTTTAGCATTAAAAACTCATTAACAATTACAAATTACGATAAATTAAGTTTGCAAGAGACTGCTTGACGGCATTTCGGCGGCGACGTTTCCGATGTAGTCGATGGCGCCTGGACAAAGACTTGGCTGCAGCTGCTGTGATGATTTTTGTTGAGTTCAGCTAATATAGCAGCTCCACCTACATTAAATTTATTAGGAGAAATTTCTTTATTAAATAGAATTGTTTCTTGGTCATGGTTAACTATGATTATGTTATCTTTTTTATCATTTTTTAGAGCTGCTTATACTTTATATTTATATTCATTTAGTCAACATGGTAAGTTATTTTCAGGGGTTTATTCTTTTAGTGGGGGTAAAATTCGTGAATATTTATTAATATTTTTACATTGGATACCTTTAAATTTTTTAATTTTAAAAAGAGATTCATGCATATTATGACTGTAATTTCAATAGTTTAATAAAAATACTAATTTGTGGTGCAGCATTGACAGCAGTGCTCGTGCCCCGCGTAGTGGCAGCAGCGGCAGTTGAAACGGCAAATAAACAAAGCAGTGGCGCGACACAGACAACAACAAAAACAGCAGCAGCTCCCGATTGTCGCGCTGATAAGAGGGCAGACAATTTGAGGAAAAAAATCAAGCCGAATGTCAAATGATCTTCCGAAGATAAATTATATTCTTATGTACATATGTATGTATATGTATGTATGCAAGATATTATTTAATTGACTGTTTATTTAATTTATGAATTCGCAGTAGACTGGCAAACTATAAGAATAATTAGCTTAGACGACACGGCTCAATCTCTGCTGATACTCCTTTTACAATGCTGTTTTGCTTGTCTACTGTTGTTCTACTGCTCAGCCTTTCTTCTTCGTATATATTTATTGGTAGATCTATGGCAAGTCTTTAATTCTTGAAGTTGGGAAATATTTAAGCACCAATTAAATCTCAATTAGCCCAATGCGATTACCACTTGGTGTTTTGGCGGTGTCTAAAAGTGCCTACAATCATTTTTATATCAATCCCGAATACCCATTCTAGGTGCTGCTCTTTTCCTTGAGATGTTATCAAAAAGCCAAAAGTCTCTTTCAGCATGGTATAAATTGTAGTTTGTTCGCAAAAACAGCAACTTAACGAAGACCGCTGCCTGTTGCTTGCCGTTGCAGTCTCGGAATCTGTTGCTGCCGCTGCCGCTGCCACTGCTACTGCTGCTGCCTCTGCCAGCGTGGTTGCTTCTCTGTTGCCATATCTAGCAGTTTCCATTTCATTTTTAGCTAACGTTCAGAGCGTTCAGCGTTTTAATATTAAATTGTCGTCGATCGCGGGCGGTTGTAATTGCCATTGTTGTACACTGCCAGTGCTACGGACTTACCGTTATCCGTTCAACGTTGTGTGTTGCATACCTCATCGAGGCCTAGCCACTTACCGTTTGGCCATATTTACCGCAAATTTTTGGTTCAGTGATATTTGATTTTTGTTAAGTGTAACGCCTGCTGCCAGGATAATTTCCAGAATGTTACCCGCTGCCTGTCTATGCCTGGCTCTACTCTTCGTCGCGTGGCATCCACAACCAACCGCTGGCCGCAGCTACAGCAGCGGCCTCATCTTCTACGAGCTGGCCACGCACACGCCCTATCTGCCGCCCACTGTGAGCGCGGCGCGGGGTCGCAACCTAGCCAGCGTCAAGTACTCGTCGAAAGGCTCCATTTGGTCCACATTTGGGCAGCCGTGTGACTGCCGTGGTCCCGTCTGCGGCTGCTGTGCCGGCCTCAAGGTGGATCAGTACAAATTCGACCAAAAAGGTGAGTTAGCGGGTCAACGAGGTCGTGGTTAGTTAAATACAGAAAGGGAAGATTTATTTAAATTAGGTTAGGTTAACCCAGACGTCCGTCGGAGGTGCCAGGTTTTTAGCTTTACTTTGAATCTTATTTCGATTTCCTTTCGTGACATGGTTGCATTTGCATTTTTTTTTTTGCAGTATGTGCAAATGTCACGTTTGTGCCACAGCTGAAGGAGGCGCAGCTAGAAGTGTACCTCAATAAGCGCCCCTCATCAAAGTACGGGATCTCGGTGCGGAATCCGGCGCCGTTTTGCATACCCGTCATGATGGGGGTGCCCATGGCCATGTGCGTCCAGATGACTGATGTAACCCTGGTGGGCAACAACCTGAACATGTGCATGGACTTTGTGGTGCGGCTCGCCACCACAGATCTCTTTGAGATGCACTTCCAGTGCATGCGAATGGGCCTCGACGGCCTCCAGTATGTGGACAAGAATGGAAAGCCCGTTCTGCCTCCCGCCGAATCACAGGGCAATGATGATGATGATGAGGAGCAAATGGAACTTGGAAATGGTTCTGGTGCGGAGTATGACTATACTGAAGCAGAGGAGGAGGAGAAGCAGCAGTCAATTGAAAGTGAAATTCTAATGGCCAGCGATCAAGACTTGGCCAACAAAGAATACCAAATGGAGGCTGTCAACGAGGCGGAGTTGGATGCAGACTCAGAGGCGGAGGCGGAGACACCTGCCAATGCTGGCTAGAGCGGCCTAAAGCTAAACGAAATAATTGAAACAATTACCAATTCAATAAAAGCCCCTGAGGCGCCTCTAACAATCACAACTCGACAGCCGATCATGGTTGTTGGTGGCGACGACGACACAAACCACGAGCAGATCGATGGCGAAGAGTTAAGGGAGAAAGAAGAGGCAATGGTTGAAGAGGTGAAGATGTCAACTAAAGAGGAGACAGAGCAAGAGACAAAGAAAGATACAGAAGCAACTACCACAGTGTCAGAAGAAATCGAAAACGAAAACATTAGCGAAAACGAGTTAAATGGTGATGATGACGCTGGGAAAGATGGCGAGGTGAAGGAACCCCCAGTAAAAGTGCAGTCGAAGAAAGAGAAGGAAGCAGAGAAGCAGACGGTGATAGAAACGGGTACGGAGACGGACACGGAGACAGACACTGAGTTATTTAATATGGTAGAGGCAGAGATAAACGATGACACAGCTGCCGAGGTAGCCAATAAGGCAAAAGTAGTGACAGCGACAAAGAAAACGACAACAAAAACAACAGCAGCTGCAGCCAAGTCGTTGTCCAGGCGCCATCGACTACATCGGCAACGTCGCCGCCACAATGCCGTCAAGCAGTCTCCTGCACACTTAATTTATCGTAATTTGTAATTGTTAATGAGTTGTTAATGCTAAACGTTGATGCTTGTTAATTAACACGTATTTATTATTTATTAAAACCAACACTCCAAGCCAAACTCAAGCGAATAAAGCATAATTTAAATCCTTAATAATACGATATGGGCAGCCTGGATCAATTGGGTTCAAAGCATGGCAGAGATTGAACTGCCGCGCGAACGGCAAGCAGTAATACACACCCGCAAGATGTTACAATCCGAAGCAGTAGATCAGCGATGCCCAGGCCCATTGCCCTGCGAGCCCTTTCGTTTTTGTAATTACCCACAGCATAGGAAACCATTTCTTGTATGCATACACAGTTTGTGCTGTGTACCAGCAAAATTTGTATAACAGGAGCAGGAGCAGCGCAGGTGCTGCCGATAGGGCGCGGTGGCGGTGCCGCGGAAGAAGCAGCCGAATCTAAAAACTGGATGGTAATTACCCAAAAGAAATTCATAGCTCTGGTATTCTTTCGAAAAAGTGAACGATTCATACGTCATTTTGTTGGTAATGAATGCCCCTAAAGAACTAACATCTGAAAACAGGCTTATACGATACGGAAAATATTTAAAAAAATGGTCAAAGTTGAAGTAACCCTCAAAACAGAGGCTAATTTCAGGTTTGGATCGATATATCTTCAGGTACAGTGGGGAGCAAAAGTGAGTACATACTCAGTATCACCGACTTTCGTCGCCCATAACAGCTAAACGCATAAAGCAAAGCAAACCAAATATTTTTCATATATCAATTACTTTATTCTTAGTAAAAAGGTAATAACAACAAAAACAGATGGGAAGCTTACATTGAGAAAAAAATAGAAAACCAAAACAACTCGCATGTACTCAGTTTTGAACTTTTCGTCTATTTCACTTTTTTCGCGCTCTCAAGTTTCTTATCAGCAAATATCTTGAAGATTTAGAGTTAAATCTCTTCTTTTTGTGTTCTTGTCATACATACTTTAATTTAAGATGTGCTTCTTACAAGTCGGTGCAGATTTATTGAATTTACTAAATTGTTTATACTTTGTGCCTGAAAATGAGAAAACTATCTCTTGAAATTGAAAATAGTGTTGTGTGCCTTACTAATAGTGGCTGTTCGACACGTACTATTGCTAAAAAGCTTGGAATTAGTCAATCGGTGGTGATCAGAGTGCAAAAGAGGCGTAATGTTGTCCCCAAACAGCAAGTCCAAGGCCGCCCTAAGAAGTTAACAGACTCAGAAGCTAGACTTATGATTTCGGAAATGAGGAAAAATAAGTTACTAACACCAAAAGATGCTTCTATGGCAATAAACAAAAATGTTAGTCGCTCGACAGCCAGAAGAGCGCTTCACAACATTGGGTACATTGCAGCCGTTAAGAAAAAAAAACCAGCATTGTCGGAAAAAAATGTCAAAGCAAGGTTGAAATTTGCGGGCATAAAAATTGGACGAAGGATGACTGGAAACGCGTAATCTGGTCTGATGGGTCAAAATTCAACCGTTATCAATCGGATGGGAAGCAGTATTGTTGGCGTAGGCCCGGAGAAAAACTGCAAAGACATCATGTTAAGCAAACCGTGAAACGTGGCGGCGGCAATATCATGGTTTGGGGATGTTTTACATGGTGGAACGTTGGTCCTCTAAAAAAAGAGAGGGATCATGCCAAAAGAGGACTATTTACAAATTTTGCAAGCCCATCTTCCCATTTTCTTGAAAAATGTGCCTTTCCGAAGCATAAATTACTTTTCAACAAGATGGGGATCCGAAGCACACAGCGAAAATTGTTCAAGAATGGCTAGGGAATCAAAGTTTTAAGTTGATGGAGTGGCCAGCTCAAAGTCCCACCTAATCCGATTGAAAACCTATGGTCAATCGTGAAACGACGGCTAGGGCAGTACGAATCAGCCCCATCTAAATTAGGCGACCTCTGGGCCGTGTACAGATGGAATGGAATCGTATTCCGAAGACATTATTGAGAACTTGGTAGAGAGTATGCCAAAGCGTATTAATAATGTCATTTCTACTAAGGGTTCTATGGACAAAATATTAAGTTTAATTGATTTTCTTAGATGTTTGTAAAAAGTTCAAAACTGAGTACATGCGAGTTGTTTTGGTTTTCTATTTTTCTCTCAATGTAAGCTTCCCATCTGTTTTTGTTGTTATTACCTATTTTCTAAGAATAAAGTAATTGATATATGAAAAATATTTGGTTTGCTTTGCTTTATGCGTTTAGCTGTTATGGGCGACGAAAGTCGGTGATACTGAGTATGTACTCACTTTTGCTCCCCACTGTATATCCATTTTATCGACACGGATCAAATGTCTTGCGACAGGCCATACAATTATCTTTACAAAACGGCTGGTGATGCCGTGTGTGGGTGGTGGGTGGCAGGAGCAGCGCAGGTGGTGTCGATAGGGCACGGGGCGGTGCCGCGGCAGTGACAGCTACTATGGCTGCAGGAGGGTTATGCAGCGCAGGTGCTGCCAAAAAGGCGCATGGCCAAAAGGCGAATACATTCATACATTCGAATGAATACATTCATACATTCGAATGAATACATTCATACATTCGAATGAATACATTCATACATTGGAATGAATACATTCATACATTCGAATGAATACATTCATACATTCGAATGAATACATTCATACATTCGAATGAATACATTCATAAATACATACATGCCGTGTGTGGGAAGTGGGTGGCAGGAGCAGCGCAGGGGCTGCCGATAGGGCGCGGTGGCGGGGCCGCGGCAGACAGCTACTATGGCTGCAGGGAGGATTATGCAGCAGCAGGTGCTGCCAAAAAGGCGCATGGCCAAAAGGCGAATACATTCATACATTCGAATGAATACATTCATACATTCGAATGAATACATTCATACTAGAGGTGTCAAACCATCGAGGGCACTATCGATAGTATCGATATTTTACTGATAGTCTCTACTATCGACGGTTTTGCGACTAGCATGATAGTATCGAGCTACAGTCGTTGCGCTTTTGATATGTTTGGATTAGCTGCTATAAAATACGAATACAAATTTGTAAAAATATCGACAGGTGGCATCTAATTTTTACAATGGACAAGTTCCTAAAAGGTTTCAATGGTTTTTTAATAATTATTTGAGCCCGATACTATTACGGCAGTATCGATTGTTTTTTTCAAAACATTCAACGTTGATATTCCTCGATTTTGATATTCCGTTTAATATTACTAGCTAGCTGGGACTCTCAGCCCTAAACAAATAATTTTATCCAATTCCTCAATGAATTTTGTTTAGGATTGGCTAGTTTTTAGAAGTCCTTTTTATTGGATTATTTACATATTAAGGTTAAAACAAAAACAACATAAACGAATGTGTCGTCGTTTTGTGGCGCTACCAGACTCCTGCAATTCGTAGTAGCTGCGGGCTGCCATACCGTGATATTTTGTGATATGAAATTCGTCAATTTTGATATTCCGTTTAATATTACTAGCTAGCTGGGACTCTCAGCCCTAAACAAATAATTTTATCCAATTCCTCAATGAATTTTGTTTAGGATTGGCTAGTTTTCAGAACTATTTTTCATTGGATTGTTTACATATTAAGGTTCAAACAAAAGCGGCCAAAGCATAAAACGTAATGTTGACTAAATGTGACGTCAGTGTTGCTGGTCAACCAAGTTTTGTGACGTTACCAGACTCCTGCAATTCGTAGTAGCTGCGGGCTGCCATACCGTGATATTTTGTGATATGAAATTCGTAAATTTTGATATTCCGTTTAAGATTACTAGCTAGCTGGGACTCTCAACCCTAAACAAATAACTTTATACAATTCCTCAATGAATTTTGTTTAGGATTGGCTAGTTTTCAGAACTATTTTTCATTGGATTGTTTACATATTAAGGTTCAAACAAAAGCGGCCAAAGCATAAAACGTAATGTTGACTAAATGTGACGTCGTGTTGCTGGTCAACCAAGTTTTGTGATATGAAATTCGTCAATTTTGATATTCCGTTTAATATTACTAGCTAGCTGGGACTCTCAGCCCTAAACAAATAATTTTATCCAATTCCTCAATGAATTTTGTTTAAGATTGGCTAGTTTTCAGAACTAGTTTTCATTGGATTGTTTACATATTAAGGTTCAAACAAAAGCGGCCAAATCATAAAACGTAAATGTTGACTAAATGTGACGTCAGTGTTGCTGGTCAACCAAGTTTTGTGACGTTACCAGACTCCTGCAATTCGTAGTAGCTGCGGGCTGCCATACCGTGATATTTTGTGATATGAAATTCGTCAATTTTGATATTCCGTTTAATATTACTAGCTAGCTGGGACTCTCAGCCCTAAACAAATAATTTTATCCAATTCCTCAATGAATTTTGTTTAGGATTGGCTAGTTTTCAGAACTATTTTTTATTGGATTGTTTACATATTAAGGTTCAAACAAAAGCGGCCAAAGCATAAAACGTAAATGTTGACTAAATGTGACGTCAGTGTTGCTGGTCAACCAAGTTTTGTGACGTTACCAGACTCCTGCAATTCGTAGTAGCTGCGGGCTGCCATACCGTGATATTTTGTGATATGAAATTCGTCAATTTTGATATTCCGTTTAAGATTACTAGCTAGCTGGGACTCTCAACCCTAAACAAATAATTTTATACAATTCCTCAATGAATTTTGTTTTGGATTGGCTAGTTTTCAGAACTATTTTTCATTGGATTGTTTACATATTAAGGTTCAAACAAAAGCGGCCAAAGCATAAAACGTAAATGTTGACTAAATGTGACGTCAGTGTTGCTGGTCAACCAAGTTTTGTGACGTTACCAGACTCCTGCAATTCGTAGTAGCTGCGGGCTGCCATACCGTGATATTTTGTGATATGAAATTCGTCAATTTTGATATTCCGCTTAATATTACTAGCTAGCTGAGACTCTCAGCCCTAAACAAATAATTTTATCCAATTCCTCAATGAATTTTGTTTAGGACTGGTTAGTTTTCAGAACAATTTTTTATTGGATTGTTTACATA